CACATGGCGGGTTGAAATCTGACCCGGGTCGAACTCAACCCGGGTTGAAACGCCTCATGTAAACACAGCCTTAAGCGGGATTCACAGAAGCTTTTTTGCGATGCGACACGCGATGCGACGCGATCTGCGACGGATGCGTGCGATGCGAACTCGCGAAATACCACTCACAGAAGAAGTCAGTGATGCGACAACATCTTGCTGATTTGGCTACGCCATGATATTCGCGCGGTTTGATACAACTTGTACAAATTTATTTTATTTTTTATTTATTTATTTTTTACGAGAAACCACGAACCTCGAGAACAGAATACTGCATGGTAGAGGTGGTTGCAGACGCAACTGTGGTGGTGAAACTAGAGCATCTCCGCCGACCTGAGGTCTCGGCTTCAGCGACACTTCAGAGCACCAAAAACTGGGGAGGAGTAGGCACAGGGGGGAGGGGAGGGGGGTACATTTATATAGAGGAAGGAAAAACGGAAAGATGATACATGTGATAGAGAAAAAAAAGAAAATTATAGGCAACTCTTGAACCTTTGTACAACTTTGCTGTAGAAAAGGTCAAAATCGTATGCCAAATCGCTTGTCGCATCGCATCGCATCGCAAAAGTTGAGCCAAGCTCAACTTCTGCGATGGCCTGCGATGGGCCAGTTGCGGCAGTTGCGTGGGGTGCGACATGGCTGCGATTTGGGGTTTTCCCGGTTTCGCGCCAATCGCATCGCGTGTCGCATCACAAAAAAGCTTCTCTGAATCCCGCTTTTTAAGCGCTTTAAGCGGGATTCACAGAAGCTGATGTCGATGGTGGTACAGTGCGTGCATGTTTGCATGGGTGAGCCCGCCTTCATTTTGAGGTACATATTGTATTTTACACACGGGTTTCTACATAACATAACTCTCGATATAGCATAATTTTCGCGTGGTCCAAGAGATTACGTTATATGGAGAGTAGACCTGTATAACCCACAAATAGAGAAGCGCAAATGAAAAATACATGACTAAAAATAGGTTGGTTCAGTACTGGAATATTGATGACTGACATTTTTAGTGACCAGGGGGTTTCGTGTAGGAAGAGAACAGGCATTATTATTCAAAATACATTCGATTGGTTTGGCTAATTTACAAATTTTACTGAGATTGCTACATTTTCTCCATGGCTAAGATTGCCTTTTGCAAAGAAAAACTGTTGCGCCCACCGCGAGCTTGGAGGTAACATCAATGCAGATGACCAGTCTCCATCACCGCATATACGTATCCATGAGCCACACTAACTCAGCCTGGCATTCGGTGTTCGCGGGAGGTTTGGCGTGCTGGAAACTGAATTTCTCTGTCAGTTGTTATCCACAATGGTGCTCAAGAGCACTGTCTGTAATATTATGGTGCTGTTTAATATGCACAAGCTTCCTCAGCAATGGAGGTGAGTAGATCTGACCCAAAACCAAGGGGTCGGAGACCGAAAATCCCATTTGATATATCCTTGTTTCTCTCATGCCAGGTCACGAGCTCGAAATGCGCGTTGCGGATTCTTCTGCCTCTCAGCAGGGCTAAAAAGAAAAAGACCAAGACTCGAACCCGGGACCTTGCTTGTAATGACCTATGCTCTAACCATCTGAGCTATGGGAACAGGCCGAACCTAGAAGACGTTGATAAGTTTTTTTTTCAATCCAAATGCAGCTCACACCAACATGTGACATACATACTGATGACACTGGTATCCCTCCCCAATGGGACCAACCACGGTCAGTTTCTGGAATGCACTAGCGGAGGTGAAAGAAAGTGAACTGCCTGGAAAGAGAAAAAGTAAACCACCTCGTGCATTTTGTATGTTCATTATAGTTTAAGCGCAGTTTAGCGCGTATTGGCTTATGATTTCTTTTTCTTCTGTTTGTATTTAGCGCTTGACCGGTTATTATTTTCCTTCTCTTTACTTTGCGCTACATATTATTATTTTAGAGTTCGTTACGGCTGTTCCGAGTGCGACATTTATAAAAAAAACGGGGAGTCGTACCCCCAAAAAAGGTCTGGCTACTAAAGATGTCTACATATTGCCTGTTGGGAAATCCCTAACAAAATAAGAAAAGAAAAATAAAAGTGGAAAGGAAAAGGAAAGACATATGGAAACGAGTAAAAGTTAAACTTGTTTTGTAGTCAACCAGTCCATCACAATGTCATGCATGAGGAGTACTGTAGGAGTTTTGATTTCGGCTTGTACAATTCGTTCTCGCAAAGCTTCCCCCTTCTTAAATTATCTTTGATATTTTTGACCCACCCAAGTTGGGTGGTGTGCTGCTTTGCTGCTTCGAATTGTAGTTAGACCGCTTTGTCAAATCGCCTACTGGTCTCGTCATCGTCCAGTAACAATCGACATTCTTTGTTCCGTTGGGACTGTAGCTTGTGCTCGTTTTCGTTGCGCTTGCCTTCCCCTCTTTGGTCTTTCCATAACCTTGAACCTTCCAAGTTGGAAGGCTGTCGGTTAGCGCTACGGAGATGTGTTGAAGCTAGGTGTCAGGACGTCGAATGTCTCAGTACTCTGTCAGTTTTGTGCCTAGTTGTTGGGCTTTCTGACTGTATATAGTATCTAGTTACAGTGGTGGAGAGTTACTCTTAACTAGTTTCCATATGTCCTTTTCCTTTCTATTTTTAATAATAATAATAATTAATGTAAAGAACTCTTCCTCGCGCTCTCACAGCCGACTCACTGCTACCCTTGGTAGCCATTACACACACCAACTACCACCCAAATAATAATAATAATAATAATAATAATACATCATAGGATAAGGCCTGAAACCCAGTCTCGACGGCCGTGGCATTAATTTTCTGCGACCTTCACCACAGCAATGAACCAGCTAAACAAGCACTTCTGTGGGATCAAATTTACGAATTTCCTTCCACTTCCTGCATTTTCTTGGCAGCCGATTGCTAATAATTATTTTGGAAATTGACTAATTATTGGCGAGCCAATTAAATTCTGGCGAAAAAAGAAGACGGACAAATGTTACGAGTTATGACGACAACTGTCCACCAACATAACCAGATCTTATACAGTCAGCGAGTGTGACAAAATGGCACAAAACCGACAAGGAGTACTGAGACATTCGGCGACCTGACACCTAGCTCCAACACTTCTTCAAGGCGCAAACCAACAACCTTCCAACTTGGAAGGCTCAGGTTCGGAAAGTTCCAAGAGGGGAAGGAAAGCGCAATGAAGAAGAGCACGAGCTACGCATCACGGCAACAAGTTGGTGGACAGTTAGTCATAACTTGTAACATTTTGTCCTTCTTCGTTTTTGACTTTACAATGTAATAATATTGATGATTCTCATCTTCACAGTGGAAATTCTTGATTTCGCTCCTTTTTCTTTTACAGATAACCCCCTTGTTGGCGGATCTCAAGTTCTCCCACGTGGTAAGTTCTGTGGACAAATCTGTCATTCTTCCTAATTGCATGGCTGCATGAGGTAGATTCTTCCACACCCTAGAAGGGTGTCCGTCTTCTCATTGTAAGAACCTTTCGACTTTTTCTACAAGGGTACCTTTCACGGCTAAATTTCTGGATTTATGACAGACACACACAGACACACACACACACACACACACACACACACACACACACACACACACACACACACACACACACACACAACACACACACACACACACACGCACACACACACACACACACACACACAGAAACTCACACACACACACACACACACACACACACACACACACACAGGACGGCTGGCAAACCTCGACTTACACATTACTTGCACTGACCCACACTCTTCCCCTGTACACCAGCCTGAGAGAGTCACCTCCCAGCGCTGGAACTAGGGGAATGCAAGTCAGACTCCTGACTTCTCGAATCTGCTCTGGAGTCGTCAGTGAGCTGTTGTCCTCACGCATTGTCTTGTGGAAAGTCCATCAACAGGCATAGCCACTCGATGACAGTTAGGACGCAACCATCCCCTCCCCCTGGTTCACAATGCTTCAGTCGCATACTGGCTGATACTAGTACAGTTGCGCTCGATGAAATCCGACCCGGAGTGCATATTTGGCGCCCTCAACTTGCACGGCCCTTGACCTGGCCCTGGAAGTGGTACGAATGTGACTGGACGTACACATTTACAAATACAATGATGTAGTCGGAACTGGTCCAGGGCGTCAGCTTTGCACTTTGGGTTGGATTTCAGTGAGCGCAACTGTACATGTACTTGCCCTGCTACTGTCACTTGCTACTCGGTGTGAAGTCGATAGTTTCTGTCTGTGAGTTCAAGTACAGTAAAAGCTGGTGTAAGCGACCTCTGGGTTTGGCAACCACCTGCTCTTAACGACCGTTTTTCCATGCACGGACAGTTCTACACAGACACTGTGGGACCTGGTTCTAAAGACCACCTGACTTTAACGACCGCTTTTGCTTGCACCGTGGGGTGGTCGCTTAAACCAGGTTTTACTGTACTATCCGTATTTTCATCATCATCATCATTTGCGTTGCCGAAAAAAATAATTATAGTAAAAATTAAAAATAATAATAATAAACGGCATTATGCAGCTGTGTAAGCAGTAGATGCGCAGTGTTAGAAGCCTACTTTTTGAGGCCCTCAGTAGGTAAGCATGCCTCGCAGACACGAAATCGATTTTTCTCCTGACTCTTGCGCTGTGATACCCTTCAGAATTTCCCACCTTGCTCCCCCTTATGTTCAGGCTGCCCGTTTCAGAGCCATCAGTTGCCTGATGGTCGTAGCTAGAGTATATAACCCCCCCAGAGTGTGCAAATCCTGATACCCTTTCTATGGGGTACGCCGACGGCGAAAACTCACATCACGTGGTGCAGTGTCGCAGTTGTACGTCACATTTTTAGCGAGCAACGGAGTACTAAAAAAAGCACTTTCTGACAGAAACTCACTGCACGTATGCAAATCTTGGTCGTAGTAATACGTGAAACTCAGAGTTGTGACAAAGCTTCCAATGTCTCTTGTGTATTCTGTTTTTCTTTGTTACAGGAACTCTTCCGCGTAACGTCCGTAAGTGGTATCAACAGTTTAATTAAACAGACCAACATTATGATTATTCACTGGTTTGAGGCAAAGACACAAACGGGAAAGTCTGAAGAAAAATTTGACTGTCACCACCAGGTGACATTATTACATTTTAGGCTGTGTTTACATGAGAAATTTCAACCCGGGTCGAGTTCAGCCCGGGTTGAAAGTTTTCGCCGTCCGAGACCCCATATGCAGAGTTGCACACTCTTGGGGGGTTATATACTCTTGGTCGTAGTAATACGTGAAACTCAGAGTTGTGACAAAGCTTCCAATGTCTCTTGTGTATTCTGTTTTTATTCGTTACAGGAACTCCTCCGCATAACGTCCGTAAGTGGTATCAACAGTTTAATTAAACAGACAACATTATGATTATTCACTGGTTTGAGGCAAAGACACAAACGGGAAAGTCTGAAGAAAAATTAGACTGTCACCACCAGGTGACATTATTACATTTTAGGCTGTGTTTACATGAGAAATTTCAACCCGGGTCGAGTGCAGCCCGGGTTGAAAGTCTGTACGATAGACAAAAGATGTGAGCGTTTACATGAAGACAGTTTACCCGGGTCAAATACTGATACCGGTATGCCGCCAAAAGTCCACTTCTACAGTCCTGCATGGTCACGTGAATCCGTTCGCGCGAAATTTGCATATGCAGTGCTGTTCAAACCTGGCGCGAGATACGCACAGAAGTAAGATTGCACGATTTTCTTGACCCGGGTTCATTTCAACCCCCAAGGGGAGGGTTGAAATCAACCCGGGGCGAAATTTCCACCCGGGTCAAGCGCAATGCGTCATGTAAACGCGCCATTCATTTTGTGCACATGGCGGGTTGAAATCTGACCCGGGTCGAACTCAACCCGGGTTGAAACGCCTCATGTAAACACAGCCTTAGTCTTTGTGCGCCTAGCGTGTTTATGTACTCTTTGAGTACGCGGATAAAATGTTGTGCATTGCCCCCCCCCCCCCGCTCACACCACTAGTTCAAATCTCACTTTGTATGTTCAAAGAGGTTTTGTATGGAAGATCCTTACCACGCATACATGTACATGTAGTTGATAAGGAAGACGGTATCCATGTTACATCAAACCCCAAAAGACAGCATTCATTATCATTATTAATAGCTATGAAAAGTATGAATGCCGCAGACATCACCACGCAACATTACAATTTGTTCAAGGTTCGGTTTTGTGTATTTCCAAAATCGATTTTCACGCTCCGATCATCAGTGGAAATACGGAACTAAAGAGATCAAGGGAAAAACAAAGGTTAAAAATCCAAAGAAGTGTGACACATGACGGGTAACTTGTGGTAAGTATTACAAAAAGTGAGAACTAAAATAAAGAGGAAGTGTTTGTTTTTCCTTTGATCTCTTTAGTTCCGTATTTCCACTGATGATCGGAGTGTGAAAATCGATTTTGGAAACACACAAAACCAAACCTTGAACAAATTGTCATGTTGCGTGGTGATGTCTGCGGCATTCATACTTTTCATAGCTATTATTAAACTTTTATCTCCACTTAGATTATTATTATTATTATTATTATTATTATTTGAAAGTAGGACGGAGGCAGAATATTACAAAAAATGTATTATCTACGCATGCATCTACGCAAGAGTCACCACCAGCCAATTAGGACATGTGTCAAAGTATTGAACACTTTCGTTCCCTTCTTGTCAAAATACTACAGGGAATGATGGAAATAAGCTAAAAGACTACAACTATAAGGAAAAGAAGTTCAGAAATATATCACTCCAATTATGTGTAGAAGTGACACGAAAAAATAGATGTGAAGAATCAAGAAAACAGCATGCAAATCCAATAAGTGACAAAAAAATAGTGACAAGAAAAAAAAATATTTTTATTATTATTATAGAAAAAGAATTTGTTTACGTTGAAATTGTTTCTGAATTTAGCTCAGTAGTTCTCGTTTGTGGTTACTTTCTAGTGGTGAATTTATCGCATCTGTTGTCACCTGATATCGTTGATTGATGTAATGTTTCTTTCAGCTCTCATTTTCTCGCGCTAGGTAGTGTCTAAATTATTACTTGCATTGTGCGTATATATAATGAGTTTAGAGCTAGTTTTGATTTGCCAGTAATCCTCTGATGAGATGGCGACGAAAACGTTTAGGAACATGCTTAGTTATTTACATGAAAACAAGTTTTGCTAATGGTGTTTGTACTGAGTGCTCAGCTTACTCTATTTATTGCGTTGATTACATTTTTATCTCCACGTAAGCTTTTTTTAAATTATTATTATTATTATTAATATTATTTGCCTCTCTGCGTTTGCATCAGGGTGTGGTACTACAAAAATCAACAAATCGACATAATACAGATCCACCCCTAGCATTCGCTCAGGCCGCTCAACAAGTCAAAAGACAGTAAGGACGAGAGAAATTGAGGGTCGAAGGAAGGAAAAAGGCAAAGGATATGGAAGAAATATATCAGATTGTCCATTAAATTCACTTCATACATCATGATTGTCCTGTTCCATTTGGGCAAATCTGGGAATTCCTCTGCAGGCTCAGGTGCGGAAAAGCTGCCGCCATACTGCTCTGTCCTGTGTGAGGTCCCTGATATGGGATAGATCTTTATCCGTCTGCAGCGTCATTCCCTTTGATGCGAGGTCTGTTCTCAGTATTGTTGGGAGTGTGGAAGGCGGCCGGCCACGGAATTTTTTCTCGTGCTTTGTTTTCCGGAAGTAGGCTGTCAATTATGTCATGGCCATTTGTGCTGGGGACTCCTTGTCCAGTCTGCAGATGTTACCGAGGAGTCGCATCCGAGCAGCTTTTAACCAGGACAGTTAGTGGCTGTTACAGCATTCATGTTATATCAAAATCCCATAAGACAGTATTCATATAACCAATCATGGTACATCAAGACAACATGTAAGAATTTGTCAAATCAAGTACACTGTAGATTGCTGAAAGTTCCCAGCAGAGTGGCGAGACTGGGTTTCTACTGACAGTATAAACCTAGCGAATTCTTGATCTGAAAATTATAAAACAAATTGTATAGAGAGACACATGTTGGTGCATGTATATCTACATGTACATTGTAGCAGCGAAACTGACTGATCAGACGCATTTCTAAGTAGTTCGCATACCGTGATGTCCCGTATAAAAACCGGAATTATTCCTGTAGAAGTTGATATGAGGGGTAGGCTTCTATTAAAATTAGGGAGTAGTAAATCACCGGTATATTACTACTCCCTGATTGTAATTAAATTATTTGGCTTCTATGCCGAACAGGTATTTCCCTGTACATTTGTGTATGTTGTTGTTGTTGTTGTTGTTGTTGTTGAATTGTATTTAAATTCGCAACACAAACAGGCGATGGCGCCTTTTATACATGCGAGCGACATGACAATATTTATAGTAATAGTGAAGGGGAGGGGAGGGGAGGAGAAAAAAATCACAAGTGAAAGAAGTCACCGAAGGTAACTGAATATGTTACAGATAGATCTGCGGGAAAAAAAACCGAAAACACGGAGTGTAACTGACCGATTCGATGTCGAGAAGTTCATTTCCTAACATCCTTCCAGAAAATTACAGTCAATTCATTGGAAACTGGCACCCTAACTTTTTGGTGTCTCTCTCACATAGTTGTAGATATCGTGAAAACAACAGTACATCCTGCATTGTGTGACCCGTGCAATTACTCCTTGCCACATTTGAGGCCAGAAAAGTCCAAGAACAGGGAAATAGAAATTCAGCCAGGTTTTACAAAATTAGGACAGGTATGCCATGGCAAAATGTATGGAGAAGCAGATCCAAAACCCGGATTTTTGAGATTTAAAGTGGGTTTTTGATCCTCAATTCCGCCCAAATCCGACTTTCAAAAGCCAGCGGGCCAGTTTCAGATGAATGGACTGTAGGTACCTATAGGATGGGATTTGAATCATTTGATCAGATAAAATCTTACTCAAAATAGACAGGATTGACCATTGGTGACCAGATAAAAAAGGTGACCTATTTTGAATACTTGGACGCTTTCGAGAGAGCACATAAATGAGCTGACAAGGTTCACACAGCGCATCATGGGCGGTGTTTTGTTGCAGAGAATGGCACCAATGAACTGGATCGTACCTCGACCAGAAGGACCTGGCCAGAAGGGTACCGGCAATAGGTTTTGGTCAGCTCCACCGGTGCGATCACTCTGTGTTTCGGTGTAATAATCCCAAAACAGGACACTTGAACGGCCATGAATGCAGCGGCGAACGAATATTAGGATCTTCGCTGCCAGGGCGTCCTCGAGGGTAGGAAGACAGAGTCTCTCGAAGAGCCCTGCAGTGGAAGTCCACGGCGGAAAGCCAAAGAAGGCACGGATTGCAGCTTTCGTCATCCGAGTGAGGGCGTCAATATTCCTGGCCATCAGAGACGGATAGATTGCATTGGACGCGTATGTTAGTATGGACATGATCACTGCATGATAAAATAACTTTTTCGAGGAGACTGTCAAGCTTTGACGTGTGCGCCATAGCGCACTAATGGAGCGTCGAACTTGGCGAATGGTGTGGTCGACATGGCCATCCCAAGGAGAGCTCATTATCAACAATAGGGAGGTTTAGTTCCCACGTAACGGAAACGCGTACGTGGGTGATCCACGTAAAGTGGATGAAGGGCACCCACGTTGCAACGTTGTGTTTAGTCACACGGAACAAACAAAAGCGTAAAGCGAAAGGCCCAAACCTGGTCAAAGACGAAGCTACCCGGGCCTAAGAAGCTCATCGAATATTTTGATTTCGTGCTTCGGAAACTTCTTCAGCTGAGCACCCTCACAGCTTGCACAATGCGCTCCATTCTGATTTTCACCCACGTTCTGGCGGAACGTGGGTGAGCCTCCATACACGGCATGTCGTGAATCAGAAAACGTCTGTACGTGGGTCACTGAGTATCACGTGGTACACCCACGTAAAGTACCCACGGATTACGTGGGACTAAACCTCCCTAATAACTCCAAGGTAGCGTGCCTGTGACAGAATTGTTAGCAGTTTCCCGTCGCAACGGATCTGGAGCGGTTCTGCACTCTGCTGCCCACCACGAGGTGTTATAATATTATGCAAGACCTGAATCTTCGTCTGGTTCAGCTTAAGGCCATGGTCCTCAAGCCAAGTTGCCAGATTGGTGAAGATTCAGGCTTTATACTTGCACGTGCGAATGGTGCATCTTGAAAAACCATGCTATTAAAAGTTCTATTCAAAAGAGGTTTGTATGAAAGACAGGCTTTCACAGAACACACTATAGTATTGCTACGGGTATCGAGTCAATTGTGTGTGTGTGTGTGTGTGTTTGTGTGTGTGTGTGTGTGTGTGTGTGTGTGTGTGTGTGCGTGTGTTTGTGTGTGTGTGTTTCTGTGTGTTTGTGTGTTTATTGACCTGACCAATGCTCCTTACTTGTTGGTCTTGCTGGTTTTCCAATAGTATGCAACGAATACGAAATCAAGAATGGAAAAATTGAAAGTGGAGATTATGGCGCAATCCGTGTACCAACGTGTCATTCTGGTTACAAACACGGGATTTTCGCATATGTGAAATGTACTGGCAAGATCGGCGTCTCTGGCCACGCTGCTTATGGGTGGTATAACTTGTACTCTGTGCCTATGAACAACATGTGCGTCAGTAAGTAATCACTGGCATTCAACTGTAATGTTGACGATTGGAACTAATTCAAGCGACCAGGCGCTACGCCAAAGAAGAGAGGAAACAGATGACTCAAGCTGTTCGATTGGCGTGGCGAATTTAAATTGTTTTTGCTGAGATGGCTAAATTTTCATCAGCGCGCAGATTCTCTATAGTTTCAAGAACTGTTGGTGCCCATCCGGGCTTGCAACCAGCTTGAATGGTGGTGACAGCTTTGCAGATGACCCGCGTTCCTCACCGCACATTCTCCGTGCCCATGAGCCACACTCGCTTGTCGATGTCCGGAAATACGGTTATCGCGAGATGTTTGTCGTGCTGCTAACGTACCTTCTCGGTCAGTTTGTACGTGTACGAGTACACCTGATGAGGGGTGAACCTCGAGAGCACTGTTTTAAGATGGTGCATGTGTAATTAATATGCACAAGCCTCATCAACTCTTTTAAAAAGCGATGGGCATCAAGGGGTCGAAGACAGAAAATCCCATCTGCTAAGTGGAATTTGAACCTGGTATCCTCTGTTTCTCAACCCTGGTATCCTCTGTTTCTCAACCATGGCCTTCGACCATCCCACTACACCTGCCTCCATCAAAGAGAAACAGTGTTCCAACACCTTTCTATTACAGTACTTAACTTCAGTCAAGTTCTTTGGCTGTATCCTTCAGTTCCGTATTTCTTTCCCCGCTGATGATAGGAACGAGTCAATTCTGGGTTTCATAATTTCATTAATAATATTTTTGTTATAAAATATACAGTCATACATGTCGAGAGAGAGAGAGAGAGAGAGAGAGAGAGAGAGAGCGGGGAGAGGGAGAGCGAGAGAGCGGGGAGAGGGAGAGAGAGAGCGGGGAGAGAGCGGGGGGAGAGGAGAGAGAGAGCGGGGAGAGAGAGAGAGAGCGGGGAGAGAGAGAGAGAGAGAGAGAGAGAGAGAGAGAGAGAGAGAGAGAGAGAGAGAAAGAGAGAGCGGGGAGAGAGAAAGAGAGAGAGGGAGAGAGAGAGAGAGAGAGAGAGAGAGAGAGAGAGAGAGAGAGAGAGAGAGAGAGAGAGAGAGAGAGAGAGAGAGAGAGAGAGAGAGAGAGAGAGAGAGAGAGAGAGAGAGAGAGAGAGAGAGAGAGAGAGAGAGAGAGAGAGAGAGAGAGAGAGAGAGCGAGAGAGAGAGAGAGAGAGAGAGAGAGAGAGAGAGAGAGAGAGAGAGAGAGAGAGAGAGAGAGAGAGAGAGAGAGAGAGAGCGGGGAGAGAGAGAGAGAAAGCGGGGAGGGTTGGGGGAGAGAACTAAATGACGTATAAAAATAAAGAATGAGAGAGAGAGAGGGCGTACGGAAGGTACGGCGTTCTGAAGATGTTTGCTGTTAAACGGTTTGCCGTGTGGCACAGAAGAACGCACCATTGTCTACACTTGCTTATTGTTTCTTTTACTCAATAATCCAGGGAGCATGTGGGAAAAGCTGCTTCCCTCTGGAGCGGATACGTTACTATAATTACTCACATTCCCGGCTCGACAATGGTACTGAGACTAGGACAAACGTTACAACTACTGTGCAGGGGCTGCGCTGAGACGCAGCAGTGATGGTGACCCGAACTCTCGGCATCACAGGCGAAAAACAAGCACCAAAAAACAAAAGATAGAACTGGACTGGTTAGGAAAGCTTAAAACCAAGGAGTGTGCGGGAGAAATTATCGTACTCTGAAAAATTAAAGGGGTTGTGACTGAGAGGAGTATGATCATTGCTGATTGTCCGAGCCAGCTTTGTTGCGTAGATAGGGATAGGTGAGAGCAGCATCATAGCGAGTCGACTACTCAGAGCCAGTTTGTGCTTCATAGATGGCGATAAACGTTCGTTGTAAAAGTTTCCATTCCCTTGCTGTGGGGAGGCTGGGAAAGAAGAGTGTTGGGGAGGGAGTTCCAGATGTCAGTGAGTAAGTTGTGGTATTGCTTTTTCTGTCGGTAAACATTTCTGCTCAGTCTCAAATTGAACCGACTTCGGGGTTTTCAAAACTTCACCATCGCCGGGTCATCGTGTGCGTTATTATTGCTGTGAACCAACCGAACAAGCCCTTCTGTGCGATCAATATTCGAATTTCCTTTACATTCCTGCATTTTCTTGACAGCCGATTCCTTATACTTGGTCCGTTTCATCGCAATTGTCGCTTATCTACCGCAACTAAGAACAGGAGTGTTTTTACCGCTCTGTAAAATTTCCAATACGCATAGTGAAGAAGCTTGATACAGGATCCCTGTCCGCCACAAGAAAAAAATTCAGCGATGGAATCTGATGAAGCAAGTCGAAGAAAGGAAGCAAGGTTACAAAAAATGTACAAAAGAAAACAGCGACGGAGCGCGTTCTTGCACTCACGCTATAGTTTATCCAACTCTGGCTCTGTATTACTCGAGCTGATGTCACACCAGCTTACATTCGCTGGTGTGTATAGCTGCTGGCGTAGAGTATCTCTTGCTTTCTCCGCTTGGCGTATGGCAGTGATGGGAAAGAAACAGTCGTGGCTGTCACTTTGGCACTTGGAGGAACGTGGGCAGCGTGACCCGTGTGTCACCACTGGGTGATTCAACAATGTTTTTGAATCAGGCGCACATCCCTCTCCAAACAGCTGTCATACTCTCTGCTGGATACGCTGACCACGACTCTTGTACTGCCGCTGCCAGGTCGGACAATGTCTTCTTTGCCACCATCTCGCCATCAGTTTGCAGGCTTGCAAAGAATGCCAGGTCGTTGCAGTTCAAGGTTACGTGGCGACTGAGCTGGCTGGCCAGGCCGT